AACAAACTTTCTAAGACCCTTTACACGCTAACCAAAGTACGCCCACGCAAACCAATACCACATTCGGAAAGGTGAGAGTTGCCCCTATCCGATGATGTTGTTTGGTTTGCGTGAGCGTACTTCGGTTCGCGTGTAAAGGTCCGCGTACGGGTTAGGCAAAAGATGTGCGTCTAACTTTAAAAACTGTCGGATTAATGGCCCTTCGCTCATTTTCAACTTCTATTCAATTTTCATACTGCCGTACTCTACCGGAACTATCCACCTGCCCTCTTCTAAAGATCATTCTCTAGCTAATAAATTATCCCACTAAAGCTTCATGTTAGCATTTCCAACCAACTCTTGTTTACAAAAGCTTGTGTGCCGTTATCAAATGTTACGCCTGATATATACTCATTGGATGAAAGGGACCGTGGAAGAAAGGATTTTAAAATAGAATGTTTTTGCTTCTGATTGTTTCATCTTGAATTCGTTTATAATCGGCGAAACCGAACTTTTTGACAGTGCGAACCTCAACCCGAGCTAGGTTTTAAAAACAAACGAGCAAACTGACGTTTGTCAAAAAACAAGCAGACCCAATCTTGATACCCGATCCAGGTTGGAACTGAATAATAAACCAATTCGCTATTAGTAGGTATTCCAATTTGGTAAAACTATGAACAGCAGAAAAAGTGAGTTTATGGTAGCCTTATTTCGAAAGACAACAAATCAAGAAGACTGGCAACTTTGCCAGAATCCAAGCGACAGATACAATGACGCTGCGCTTGAGTGAAGGTGGAAAGCAACGCATAGGAAAATGAGCAAATACACAAACCCTTCTTCTGAGGATGTAATCTTTGCTATCAAATTCGTTCGAAGCATTTACCTTTGAGCGGCAGATGACGCGATTGTACCCGTCTCATAGCGTTCGTATGATAAAATGGAAGAGTTGCCAGTCTTCTTGATTTGTTGTCTTCGCTTATTTGATGTTTTGTTTTGATTCTGCTTTCCGTTTCGCATGATGTTTGAGCAATTTTTAGTTTGCACGACGTGCAGATTAACGGGGTTCAAACTAAAAAGTGTTCAGATTAAGAACGGTCAACGGTACGGTAGAACGGAACGGGGGTCAACGGTATGCCCTTACAATTTGCTCCATAATACTCTAGAAATTATCTCCAGAAGCATGGTGACCAGTAAATTCCGATTAGCTATTTCCCGTATTTTTACCGGAATTTTGGATGTGCGATATACATTAAACTTAAGCATAAAACGGGAAGCCGAAGGTATCAATAGGTTAAATAAGTCATTACTAAGACAGCAGCATTTTTCCTGGGTCAAAGTTTGATCCATTTTTTTTATTGGGTATCAAGCCGGAGCTGCGTGACAGCTTAGTTTTCAAGACTTGACCCATTTGAATAAATGTTGCTTCTATCTTTGACAATACAGCAGAAGGACTAGCCTATGTTGGCAGCACTGGATTCCGTGTGTTTCAAGATAGTAATGGAAAAAAATGCTGTGGCCTGTGCGCGTACATACATCCGCGTAGTAAACCGATTGAATGAGTAAATCCGTTTCGAACGAAATATCTAAATTATGTAAGTTACGAAAACCGCGCGAATTCCGAAAGCCGTGCCGGAGTGAGAAAAAAAGGCTTACTATCATAAGAGTGCCACCGAAATAAATGTAGCCTATGAAATAGCCTATGTTGAAAAGATCGATTTTACAGTCACGTAGGGTTTAGCTCATGGATTAACATTGACTGCTGTTTACAAATGTAAGTACTTAATAAGTTAATTCAAATGCTTTAACCGCACTTATCAGAGATTTCGTGTATTGAGAGAATAATATAGTTATCGAGTACAATAAACTCAGGGGAAAACAATACCTACCAAAGATTAAAAGTTATCAATTGTCACATATCTCTACTTTTACTTATTTCCTAAACTATTCATCTCCTTGTTAATTTGCTAAATGCTATTGGTTTGCTTGTGTTTTGTCATTAAAGTTCAAGACTAAATAGGAAAATATATTATACAACTTTAAAGTCTAGTTGCCTCCTCAAGCGGACGAGCATCCCAAATCTTTTGTTAATCTACCTAATGTTATTAGACTTTCTGAATTTTCTTATATAAGATCGTTTGATGATTATGATATCTCATTAGTCTAATTTAATAAATAATTGAAATCTCTAATTTACCTAATCAATCATAACCCATGCTTTATTAAGTTTGTAATCTAAAATTAAACGTGTTTCAAGTACTTTTGATTTTGACCTATACCTATTTATTATATCTTAGTTCGACCCAGGTGACACCTTCAAGTGACTAAAATGCTTCACTTTGAAGTTAGTTTCCTAGCTGATGTTTAAATTATATAGGGTAGGGTAGAGAACTACTTCGACCTAAGCGCCCATTTTGGACCTATCAAGTAGAAAACATCAAATAAATCAATGATTTCGACGTTAACATGTAAATTATGCTTTTGGTACGATACTTTAGTTCGAATGCTACCGAACGAAGTCAATAAGAACGCATGATATGAATGTTTACACCCAACACTCTAAACAAAAATGAACTTCATCCAGGCCAAAGTGAATTAATTGGCGTTTCAATGCGTTAGACCGAGTTTAGAATCCGAAAGCCGAGTTTGGCGTCAAGAAGCAGTGTTAGACTTTTAACAATATCTCAACCATTTGTTTATCTTTATAAAATCGTACGTAAAGGTAAATAAATTTAGCAGCTATCAGTAATAATAACATTCCGGTTGGTGCTAAACTACGCTAGATTAAGAAATACTAAGTGCGGGTTGTGCTTAATAGACTGGAAATGGGGTAGTTAACCCTATATGTCCCAACTATGCTCACACGCTTCCACTATGTCGCACCACAAAAATACGTATGGGTATGTCAAAATAGAAGCCCGCCACAGTGGAAATTCCGAGTTATCCCAAATTAAAATGAAGCACATATAAGATTAGTTACAATGCCATGTACAATAATGGTGTTTAGCATTGTTCCCTGAGTAATACCTCACGCAATTAGAAGGAGTACTGTTGGGCACTTTCTGAAATATTTCAATAGTATAATTCCCTTGCAAACCCAAATAAATCTATCTGCGTAAAAAAAATAAGAGTGATTTGCGGAAAACCCCGCCAGTATCGCACCCAACGCCAGTGCCTATACGTAAGCGTACTACGACGCGGCTCTCAAACAAAGGAGTAACAACTTCTAAGGAGTACTATCACTGCTAGACTAGATCTTTGGTTTCCTCATGTAGTAGTTTATCAGAGTGGGGAAGCTTAGTAATCCCCATCGCCTGCCCATGGCGCCATTCTATCGCGGCATGAGCCAGCAACGCCGGTAGGTGTCTCCGTCTCCAACACTCCACTATAAAGCATGAAATTAAGACCGCCCACCAACTGCAAGATGCAAAAACTAGCCAAGGGGAGGGCCTTATTATCTTTCTAGACTTTAAACACAAATATTTCCAGATTTCCGCTAGGTCCAGGTTTGTCTAATCTGTAGACATTATTCATGACTCAGAACCCCTTAAAAACAATTCAAGTTTCAGAATTTATGGTGTAAGTGAAGATAAATCCACTCCACTGTTCAAAGAGTAAAAGTGAATAACGAGGAAGATACAGTTGGTTGTATTTCAAAATGTTCTGAAATTCTTGACAATGTTCTTTGGCGTACCTTAATACTTCTATTTTAATTTAAAAAATTGCTGGAGAATTTCAGAATTCCATCCACATTTTCCAGGAAAAATAAAATTTCTTGAGGATTCCCGGTTTTCCAGGTAGTAGATACCCTGAAAACTCATATGCAAATGAACTCACGCATGATATTTTAGTTTCCTATTAAGATTTCCAATGTAAACATTAATTTTGTAACATCACAAACAATCGAAAAGCTGACTCTTCCAAAATAAGTAAAATAGCCTCTTCATTTCCAATAGAAATCGCTCATTTTAAAGTTCATCATTCAACAAGTTCAAAATTCTGTGCTCCACCTAAATTCCAAAGATTTTATTACGCGGGTGCTTTTTTATTTTTTTTTTTTTTTTGCGTTTTGAAGTTAGAAAATTTTAGTAGGTACCATATTTTTATTTAAATTCTAACGAAAACTGACTCACAATGCATACTGACTTAATACCATAAACCACCTTGTTTCTTACATTGAAAAGTTGTTGTCGTCCTGAACGGCTTTAAAATGTAGATTTTTCTAAACCTACCTACATATTCGAATACTGAAAATTTTGCATGCAGAGAAAACAAATACTTTGTATTCGACAACCGCAGCATGATACGATTGTTTAAAGATAAATCCAATGCATAATGCAAATTTATCTCTGAACTGATAATACGCAAAAGCACATTAATTACATTGCACCATGTAACAATTACAACAGAACTTGGTATTATGCAAACACCGTATGAGGACAATCAAAGGAGAAAAAAAAACCTAACATTCTCATTAGCCTAATTCCAAGCTTCTCGTCTCTATTCTGTTTGTAAGTATAGGTACCTACATCATGCCAAGCAGAATAGCAAGATTGCACTTTCCCACTCTTTTCTCCTGCATGATAAGGTAAATGCATTTTAACGCTTGCACAACGATTGTCCCAATCCCGCGGGGCGTTACAGCCAAACAGAAACACCGTATCGCAAGCTCCCGCAATTGAATTGGACACCACGCAAGAAAGAAACCCAAGAGCACAAGTCTTGATAAACACAGCGCACAAAAAGTAATTGAATAATAATCATCTTGAATTGTTTTTCTTCTGTGGCGACTTTTCTCCACCCCCATTACCCCGTTCCTGTTCCACCCTGCAATGGCAACGTTCGCTCACGGTTCATTTCCCATTATTGGGCATTATTTGCCAGAAGAAGAAAAAAATGGATAGTGATCGAAAAATTTCGGATGCAATCCGAAGGAATGTTAAATTTTTCGCTCGCCAATCTCGCCGTTTGCTGCACTAGAAACGATAATTGATTTTGGGGGGCTTTCTCGTTCTCGTTCTCACCTTGCAACTTGCGCGTCGCAGCCATGGCTATGTATACATCTGGTCGCAGGGATCAGGCATAATCTAGACATACAGGACTGGAACCTCCGATTGCTGCTTGCTCAGCACTTCACACCGTTGATACCGTGCCGATATTCCTGCTCCTTTCCCCCGGTTGCACCCGGACGAAAAATCGTAACAAAGAGGAAAGATCGGGGTCACTGCCGCAGCAGCAACTTTCTTGCTAGTGTTAGCGCCGTTCTCTTCTACAGCCGCTCGCTGGTAACAAACTTTCCACTGGCAATCTCCGGGAGCCGCTTCTCTGCCGGAACACCGCAAGATTTGTTCCACCACCGCACGGTAGGTGCGCGCTTACGGCAATTAGCCGAGTATTTCCCTGTGCAGTGGATCGGCTACGACGAGAGCATACAGCGACGGCAAGAGGATCAACTTTCAAGATGGCCGTGTGTAATGGTCGTGGAACAATTTTCTTTCGGATTGCGTTCTTTCTGGTTACACCGAATCGCGCGAGCACCGCCGTTTATTTCTACTACTCGAGGGGGACTAGATCGCAAACAATTCGCGGGGACCGAAACATTCGAATCAAACGTGAACGGAACGGATTAAAAATGCCTTTTTGCCACGGGTATCCGATAACTTTTTTTTCTCGTTCGCTTTTCGGGGACACTCTCTGGTGGTGCGAAAAACCTTCTGTGTGTGCTGCTGTCCGAGAGAGTTGAGTTGATTGGACTTTTGCTGGTTGGTTGTGTGTGCGGAGTGTTCTTTTTCTTTTTTTTCATTGTACAATTTGGCAGCGTTTCGTTTTTGTGATCGTGTTTGAAGTTGTCAAATCTGTGGCTGCATCCGTAGAAGTTTGACTGTCAAATTTGTTGTGTCAAAAAAATGTTCGCAAGGAGAATTTTTCAAGCTAGTGGTCACAAATAAGTTTTAATCAAAAGGGCGTATTTATTTATTTTTCTACCAAAATTTGAGTAGAATCCACCCAGATAGGTCAAAGCTAAACCTATCAAAAAATGGGTAAAATAAGTTGGGAGTGACAAGTTGACCAATGAATCACATCGACCATCATCGATGTTCATATATCCCTATTAAAATTGGTATGGTTATTTTTAGAGTCTCTCTAGTTATTTGACGACGTGTTTCAGGTATCATGCAAACTAGAGGAGGGTCTAGCAACAATCAATACGAAACTAACGATTTTAAATTGGCTCACCACTTTAGTAGCCTATTGGTCCCAAGCAAACGATTAACGTACCCTATTCTAGTTGAAATTCTATTACTACACTATGTTTGTTTCGATTCGCTATGAAAGTTTGACAGATAACATCAGGGGTGTGTGGATTCATGCAGAACATGCAGGGGTGAGTGAAATAGCTTGGGACTGCTTGGGACCGTTGTTCTGGTACTGAGTGAGCCAAAAATAATAATGATTTTCTTCGGGACCCAGTGGTCTTAGAGTTACCTCTATGGGTCTAGTACGAGGTCTAATATAAGATAGGAGCGGACTGGTTTTGAGCCAATCGAACTGTCAAAGCCAATCGAGTAGCGACTATCTTGATTGCATTGGCAGTGTTGCTAGAAATCACTTAGGCATTGCCAAGGCAGTTTATTTTGAATCCGCTCCGTAGGTCCCGAAGAAACGTACTCAACTTTTTGGCTCAGCTCTGGTAATATCTTCGGTCCCAAGCTAATTGATGCAGCCCTCGGAACGTAGGAAATTCCACGAACACCTCATTTTATCTGTCAAACTTTCATAGCGAATCAAAACAAACATAGTGTAGTACTAGAATTTTGACTATTATGGGGTACGTTAATCGATTTGCTTGGGACCATTAGGCTAGTCAAGTAGTGAGCCATTTTAAAATCTTTAGTTTCCACCGGTTGGGTCCCGAAGAAAATCATTATTATTTTTGGCTCACTCAGTACCAGAACAACGGTCCCAAGCAGTCCCAAGCTATTTCACTCACCCCTGCATGTTCTGCATGAATCCACACACCCCTGATGTTATCTGTCAAACTTTCATAGCGAATCAAAACAAACATAGTGTAGTAATAGAATTTCAACTAGAATATGGTACGTTAATCGTTTGCTTGGGACCAATAGGCTACTAAAGTGGTGAGCCAATTTAAAATCGTTAGTTTCGTATTGATTGTTGCTAATACCCCGTTCACACTACAGCCTATATCACGTAATATAGACTGTCTTGCAATGAGCACTCATACATTGGATTTCCAGTGAAAACTAGATGTAGAGGGCTCATTCACGCAGAATAAAACTATCGTCGTAACAAAAATATTTGAGGTAAATTTAAATGTAAACTCAGTTTGTTCTGGCCACAAACATAAATTAGGTTGATTTCAAACGTATTCCATGTTTGAAGTCATGTGAAATCAATGTTTAAAATAAAAATAATGTTACGTTTATTTCAAAAATATTCTTGTTGAAAATAAACGTATTTATTTTTGTTTGGTTTGACAGCTATGCGAACAATAATAAATATGTTTATTTTAAACATGCTTCTCATGTTTAAAATAAACATACATATTTTGAAATTATTTGAGTAGTTGAGTGCAGGGTAAAGCAGAATAAAACGGAAAGAAATGAAAAAAAAAGATCTTCAGGCAGGGCATCTTAATTCCTGCTCTTTTCGGGTGCGATTAAGGGTGACCTGTGGGTATTGGGGTCCTGGTCCGGGATGCGAGGACCCGTCGGGGTGGGTGTCCGGGGGTTCCAGTTCAGTTGAACCGGTGCAAATTTGAGTTATTCGCGTCGTTTTGCCGTTCCTGCCACTGGTCCTCATACCGGTTTCTTTCCGTGTTCGATATCGGAGGAGGATCCGGAATGGATTCGGAATGGATGACCGTTTTCTGTTGAGGTTGAGCAAAGCTGGGGCAACTTTTCCGAATGTAACAAGAAGCAAATTGGAAGATTGCCATAAAAGCTCGACGCAGATGTCGCCACTGCATAATGATGATAATGTTGACAGACTGCATATGAAATTCGTGAAAATTAGGATTAAGTCATAATTTTTATCAAGCCTGCGTAAAATCCTTCCAATATAACATTCGAATTGAAGAAGAAAATGTTTTCACGATCAGACTGATCCCGACCAACCATTCGTGAAACTTCTTCAAAGTTCTTTACACAAAAATAAAGATTGATGTCGGTAATTCTTTACTTTCAAGTTTCTTTGATTTCGATGAATATATTTAAAAACCTTTATTGATCGATACTTAAATTTAAGATAATTTCTTTATCTGTCGCATGATAGTAATCTATAAAGATGCCATACTAAATGTCTTCTAATTTCGATGTGTCACAAGGACTATAGTTTTCTTTATAAATATTCATCTAAAAATATTTGAATACTGATACCATCGTAACGTTGAACTTTGGCAAAGAACAATAAAGATTACCATCGATGCACATTTATAATCTCCTTGTTATCGATTTGCATCGCTGGGTAAAGAGAGTTTGATACACACTAGATGACAGATGGCAATGTTTATATTAGTTATCGACAAATTTGGTTCTTTATCGAGAGAAGCATGATCTGTTGGAAAATGAACGGGAAGACTGATCGATGGCCACGATGATAAAAATGTTTGCCATTGTAATAGTTCTTTAAGTTTACGTCGATACGCTCTCGGCCATTTCTTAAGAATCAGCGATAGCAAGCGTGGTAGAATTCTCGGCATTTTGAACCGAATGAGGAATCTTGATACTTTGGTTATTGATATGACAAATAAATTTTGAATTCATGCTTGAAAAGATGTACATACATATACATACACCATATACTAGAGTGTGATTGCCAGTCGTTAAGAAGCTCATCAACAGCAGCTGTAGACCCGAGGATTAGCTAACAACAAAGAAATCAGTACACCCTAGATGGCACGGGATCGAAACCTAGCAATTATGCAGATAAAAAAAATCCCAAAAATATCAGTACCGTGTATTGTTATTTTGATCTGACAAGAGAAATCGATATTTTGATCTGGCAACACGAATCGATATTTTTACATAGGTAACGATTAGTAGCAACATTTTGATAAAGATGTTTATAAATGATTCACGATCAGGTTTTTAGTATCTTTACATTTATTCATTAAATGGTGACGATCGCTATCGATTTTTCATATGAATGTCTTTGAAGATCGATATATCGAAAATTAAAGAAAATTAACGAAATGGTTGGTCGGGATGTGCATCTTTGACTTTTCCAGATGAACTTTCATATAGATATATTCATTTAATTTCACAGCTCCATCAATGCTGCATCGTACATATGATGTAAACAGAAGTAAATTGCTCAATTACTCAAAATAAAGATGATTTATCATCTTTTTATCACTTTATAAACCATCGAGTACCATTTTACAGTATGGTGCGTGTTGAGTAAATCAAGTTCCGTTGCGTTTACCGTCGAAAATTGTGAGTATCAATATGTTTACCTATAAAAGGCCAAAATGAACATTTATTGAATATTGGCGTCCTCTTCAACCATTTCTCCATTATCACCAGCATGATACAATCTTTCCTAAGTAAATTCACTTAATTTCCACTTTCATCCTAGTGGAAATCGCACATATTCACCATTTTCCGAAAAATGCAGCTGCGCAGGAGGTAACCTCTACCTGTGGGTGCAAACTTGTTGTTCTATTTTAATAAAACACACTAGATTTAGTTTAGTAACACCAAATAGTCTCTTTATTCACTAGCGAACTGTACTCTTCCATACGCAGTAGAGTTATCAATGAATCAACAAAAGCATGAATGAAGTGAGAGGCAAGAGAATGAATGACAACCCAGAAGGGGTGCACATACTCTGTAGGGATGTTCAAGTAATGCAACATCCTCCCTGTTTCAACAAAACATCACTTGTACTCAATAACATAGTCCATCAGCTTCTCTGGAATACGAGACACCCGTTTCCGACGACTGTTGATGGAACTGGATGCTGAATTCAAATTCTCCTTAGGCTTCGGTGACTGACACATACGAGGCGCTGCGATCGGTAGAATCGGCGAAGTCGAAACTGGCACCACTGCCTGAGCTGGTGACTTGTTGTGAGAATTCTGGGTGAGAACTGATTGAGAACTGTCAACTGGATAACTGCAATTTTCTTCTTCGTTTTCTCCCTCCGATGGCTTTGGAACTGTGTTTGTTGTTAAATT